TCTATAGCTTTTCTTCTTCCTTCCTAATTACAACCCTTAAATAGAATTCGTGCCTCATATCGAATTTACCGAGTATCATAATTCCTCCAGGTGGTAAAGATACCTCGAGACAAGTGCTGGGCATAGAAGCCACAGGGCATAAATCTGCAAAGAAGTAAAAAGCTAACCTTTGCAAACAATATGGCTTCTCTCTCACTTACCAACTTTACATTTCCCTGTATGGCCCCGGAAGATGACTGGTTAGCCAGAGACGGGTAAGATTCCTCAAGGGAGGAACAACCTAAGACAGGCACAGTCGCAGGGGGGCCATCAGGTGAGAATTTGGGGATCAACAGAGGTGAGGCTCAGAACCTCACCCCCCCTGCTTTGAGAGAAATCTTCTGCATCCGTGGATGTCTTGCTGCCCTTGTCTAGCCTGGATTAATACTTAGTCCATAGGCACACACCTGATCATCTGATCATCTATATTTGCCTTCTTACAGCACTAAACTATGTTTTCTACCTTTATCTTGCATCTACCTATCACTTCAGCAGTTTATTAAAAATAAAAATAATAATAATAATAAAGGGAGAAATGTGGGATCCACATATAAATCAAGTATAAAAATCAAACGAATATTCATATTTGAACTGATTGTTTATAGTTCATAATGCATGATCAGAACCGAAAATTTCTGTGATGAATGCCCTTGTACTGTTCACCATGTAAGAACTTATTCACTATGTAAGAATTCGTTCACTATGTAAGAACTTGTTCGTTATGCTTCAGAAGATTGGAGACTGACGAGAACTAGGCTTGAGATGGATTAATGATTGTGCATTGAGCATTGACCCCCCCTATACAGAATTTTATTGTTGTTAACAACCATTTGATCAATAAATATGAGAGATGCCCTCTCAAAAAAAAAAGACAGCTATAAAGGAGATATAGGGTAGTCAATGATTACACAGCCTAGTAGAACCATAAACATGTTTGCTGAATAAGAGGTAGCATTAGAAGCAGTAATGGGCTATTGTTTTTCTTTTTAAACAGGGAAATCTTTGTAGGATAAAAGAATGGAGAGAAAAGCTTTAAAGACACAAAAGGAATGATTAATGAAAAACCAAGGTAGTTAAGGGAAGGTAATTAAGTATGAGAAGTTCTTAACTTGGAAGAGGCTTAGCGTAAAGAGGGAAAACTGAGAAAAAGTGTAGGATAGACATATTAGCTGGCCTAGATCTTCTCAGTAGAACAACTTTCATTTTTGCTTAAAAAGAGATTGAATCTCAAGAACTTGAGAGCAAAAATTCTTAGAAATAGACACAAAAGAAGTCCTCTGATATGAAAGGAATCAAACTAGTAAAATGTTCACACTTGAGCCTGTTCACCTGTTCTCTTAAGAGAATTCATAGTGCAAGGAGATTAAACAAAGGAGATAGAAGTCGAGGGTGATGGAGAAAGTACTATGGAAATGGCTTGCCATGAGTTCCAGCTAGACAGGAAGACACATTATGACAGAAGTTAGCTACTGAAAATACAGAGGCACTGAGGGAATGGAGGTCATCATAGGCATGAAGAATAAGTTTAATGGAAGTGAACCAGAAGGAAAAGTTACTGTCAAAGCAATTGGTGAATTTAAGATCTAGGAAAAGGCACAAAGTGATCAGTTCTATAGGGTGCAATTTTGGCTGTTTGGGTAGCTAAAGTTTAGCAAAAAAATGTCATTGGAGTTGAGTTCAAAGAAACTTGAAGTCACAGTATGAAAGTCATGATGAACCTTTCATGAAAAATCATAATATCAACTACCCAAGTGGGAAAATAGAGGAAGAGGTTGAGAGGAACATTTTAATCACTAAAGTACATAAAACTGTTCTAAAACTCTAAAGAAAACAGTGTGGGAGTACATGAGATTGGCAAAAACAGAAGAGAGCTTGAGAGATGGCAAAGAAACAAAGGTTAAAAGAGACTAAGAACCATACGACCGAGCAATTCCACTCCTACATGTATACCCAAGAAAAACGAAAACATATGTTCACCCAAAAACTTTATATGATATATGGTATATCAACCATACTTCAATTTTTAAAAACCACATGCATGTTCATACCAGCATTGATATTTATAGTAG